AGTAGTTTGTTTATGATTTGTTTACTCTCTTAATTTTTAATCATCTAATCACATCTGATAGATCTCAACTTGCATCATATTTTATTTAAAGCATTTTATATATAGATAAATAAAAAGTTTGACATATTTTTGTATGAAGTGCGCGCATTTTTAATTCACGAATTCATTATTCCGAGTTATGAGAAGATTGTGAAAATCTTTGATATGACATGTTGAATTATGGGAGAGTTGTAAACTGAGTTCATAAAGTAAATTTAGTCGGCATTAATGTAAATGGAGTATATTAGTTTGTCTTACTATTCTACTATACAACTATTAATTTGAATTTAATTAAATATTAAATTGATTCATTTTATATATTAATAAATACTAAATATTTGCATAATTAATTCTATAAAAATTCAATATTTACTCTCTCAAACTTAGCCCCTCAACAAGAGTATTCGAGCTTCAACTTTTCACGGATTTCTTCAAGTTCTTTGCTTTCGCATTGTGCATTAATGTTTTATTTATGATGTGCCAAAAATGGAATCCGCTCGCCGAATGCGCGGTTTTTGTTATTTGTTTGCCTTCTTTTTTATTTATTTATTTCTTTCCTTTTTTGTTGTTATTTTGATTTCCCCAGTTGAAAGTTGATTTCCGCGTGTTGCGTGCCGCACAAATTGAAGCGAGTTTATGTGCCTAATTTTTGGGCATTTAACTTGATGCGGAATTACTTATTGTAGTTCTTTAGTTTATTTGATTTAACCACTCGCCCTGCTCCTGCCTCGCGCAATTACAATTTGGGCAAACTATGCGCAAATTGTGTTAAACCACGCAGGGAAATATTTGTTTTCCCCTGCTTTTGGTAATTGTTTATGTTTTGCGTTTATATAATATTTTCCGATGTGCGATTGCGTGTCGTGTGTCGTTTGTCGTTTGGTTATGTTAATTTGACTGCTGTTTGCAGTTTTTATGCTGGTTTTTTGTTTATTAAATATGCATGACATGCAAATGGCGGTCGCATGCCAATTAACTTTGATCGATTCAACAAAATGGGCGACAAGATTTTTATGAGCAATTAATGTGGTTGCCGCACTGCGGTTGCCACAGCCAAACGCCATTAAATTATTTGTAACTGAGCGATGCACTCAAGCCAAACCGATGCAAGTCTTGGCTCAAACCCAACTAAAAATAAATTGAGAAATTTTCAATCAAATTTTCAATCCAAATCAAATTGAATCAAATTTCTATGGCATATTTTAAATAATTAGTATTTTATTCTTCTGGCTTTACGTTCATTTTGTGGGATTATTTTTTCCGCAAATATGGATGTGCAAAATATATATGCATACGAATTGTTTGAAATAAATGCAAAATGTGCAAATTTGTAGAGTTTTTCGTTTGGCTGCCGGCCCGACAGACGTCAAATATATATTTAACGCGCCGCTGCATGCGCCAAAAAGTTGCATAAATATTCGCATATGCAGCGCGCATCTCCCAAATGGAACAATTACGGCGCAATCAGAGCCACGGAATACCTACATAAACACAATTTATTTGCTCTGCGCTCTGTGAACATTTCAAAGCTAATGGCAATGACACATTTTGCGTTCAAACAATAAATTCTGACTGAGTGAGAGTGAATGTGGCGAATGGATATCCTCTAAAGTAGTTGAGATGAGTTGCATGAGAACAATGAAGGTTGAAGCAGAAAAAAAAATAAAATAAATGTATATGTAAATAAAGTAAAATAAAATAAATAAATAATAGGAAATGAGAGTATAAGACATAGGTATTACAAGCTACAAAGATGGAGGGACAGAGTGAGATTTAGAGAATGTGGGAGACAAATAGCGAGATGGAGAGTGATAGATACAGACCTAGACAGAGAGAGAGTTAGAGAGAGAGAGAGAGAGAGAGAGAGTGAGAGAGAGAGAGAGAGAGAAAGAGATAGAGATAGAGATAGAGAAAGAGAGAGAGCGTACGATTTATTTATTTATGTATATTTATTTTTTTATGTTTATTTTTTTTTTTTTTAATATATTTAATACAATTTAAAAAAAATTTATTTATATATATATATATTTTTTTTTTTTTAATATTTTTTAATATATTTTATTTTTATTTATTTTTTTATGTTTATTTTTTTTTTTAAATATATTTAATACAATTTTTTTTTAATTTTCTTTTATATATATATATTTTTTTTTTAAATATATATATAAATATTTATATACATTTTTATTCCATTCAAGCTTTTGTTTATCCTCATATTTCAATCTTCGCCTATATTAACCTTCGCTAGGTCAATTTGCCCACAAAATGAATAATTATCACTTCTAGTTTTGTGTCTAAGCTAATTAAATTACATTCACCAATATCTCACACTAAATACGATTCACCAAAATTATCTCTCTCTGCCTTTAATCTCCGGCACCTTTAATACACAGAGCTTGCCGCAGCACTTGGCTACCTGTTGTTGCATGGCCCGGGCAGACGTGATGCCTACCCGCTGTTCGGGCGGCACTTCAAAGGCAGCTGCGTATAATTACGGACAAGTTTAGACCACATGGCGGCTGGCATTCGGTTTCGGTTGGCAATGGCGGCGTTGCATACTCTGCAGCGCCTGCAAATTTAATGGCGCCGCCCTAACGAGTGTTGCCTACTTTGCAGCGTCGCGCACGCATCTCAAGTGGTTGCTGATGGCTTCATGCAACATTCTTGTTGGCTTTTGTAAATGTCTTTTTCGCCTTCACTTTTGTTGTTGCTGCTGTTGTTGTTGAAGGAGCACCCGTCTCTCATTATTCTTGTTGGCCTTATTAGAATACTTTTTTCAACTGCTGCTGCTGCTGCTGTTGACTTAGTCAAGAGCAATTAACATGCAAATAAGGCCTATTAGTTACCCAAACGTCAGTCTGTCAGCTGCTGTGTGTCGCTCTTGGCCAAGTTCGCTTGCCCCTCGTTTCGGACACCTTTTCGTGCACTTATTGGCCTTTTGGCAGGTCGCACCGTCGCGTTTGCTTTTAATGACTTACTAATTTTCAGTTAGCTTTGTGCGCGCCAGACTCTTATTTAAAAATTCTAAATTGTCGTTTTGGGCCAGGAGGCGTGGTCGGCTGTCCGCTATCCGTCGACCGTTCATATCATTAAAGTTTACGTTTATGTTGAGCAAGATATTCAAAAACTTTTTGATTTCAAAAATTACAAGGCCTCTAAACATTTGCAAAGCAACAGAAAAAAAAGGGTTTAGCCCGGCCAAACTTTGCCTTTATGAGCTTAATCTATAAAAACAAGCCCCTTTGCTAAGCAGTTAATCGTGGAGTTTTAATCTGGTTGTTTCTTGGGGAAGAACTTGTTATGGCAGAGCTTAGAGTTGGTCTATGAACTGATTTTTTTAGAGAACTTTCTTCTATTTTCAAAATTTTATAAATATGTTTTTAGAAGAATTGTAGAAAAATATATATAAATTACTAATATTTATAAATTATTTAAAGGATTTACTCAAATTCCATAAAAAATTTAATAAGACTGTTTAATAGTTTTTTGTTTTTTTTTTTTTACTGGATGCTTTCAACTTTATTATATATTTTCGTAGCTTGCACAATTTTTACAGGGTATTTCTTAGCACATAGTCCACATGTCTAGCTTTGCTATTTCTTTTTATGTTTGCTGCTCTTTTTTTTACTTATGCTAAGCTAACTCGCACAGCGCCTTATCTAATCACTGTTTCGCTTTGTTTTTGGCTCATTTATCGAATGCTCTTTTCTCGTGATTGGCGGATGAAATTTTTATGAACTTTGCCTTTTGCAATTAATGTTAATTGATCACTTGAATTTGTGCATTTTCATTAAAACTTTTTCAGCTTGGATCACGAATCAGAAAGTCAGTCAATTACTGCAAAAAAACAACAGCAACAACTACATTGAAAGGGTGTGGAGAGGGCGAGAAGCGTTGGCAGAGAAGTATTTACACAGCTTCTGCGGTAATTTATCGTTCTGGCCAAGGCAAAGGCAGCCAGCCTGGGGGCTATGGTTTCTGGACTCTGGTCAGTGGCAATGGCAGCAGGTTTAACACCAGACCAGACCAGGCCGCAAATCGCCATTGAATGTGCAGCACCTGCAATGTGTGTCCGTGTGTGCACACCTACACACCTACACACACACACAGACACACTGGGTCACATAATGGCGCTGCGGTATGGACAATGAATGCTGAGGGTGATGATCCAACGTGATTTATCTACTGACGCTGAGGTTAAAAGTTTTGCGCATACTCTCATTGTTTAGGTCAGGATTCCCTTTGTATGCATAGCACATACACACACGCTCCCACACACACACACAGACTCACATACATATATGCAACCACACGTGCACTGCGCTCAATGGCTATGCAAATTCTCGACCTGACTGAGCTGTCAGAGTGCGTTGAATAATATGCTCGCCCTAACATTGAGCGCTCAACGCAATTATTAAACTTTTGGCATAACTTCAGCTTCAAGCTTAACTTTTGGCTTTAACTATGATTATTTGATTTGCCTTCTACGTGGATTGGAGCTTCGTCCATTTAGCCAGATATCTGATTATGCCAAACGAGACCTGCACCACAAGATGCTGACAGCCAGCTCATTATTTAGCCACGCCGAGTGTAACTAATTATTGCCAGTTCTCTCTCACTTTTGGTGTTTTTTTTTTTTCTGCCGCACTTATTGACACAGCTTCATATTGCTCCTCACCCCCTCGATTCCTGCTTTCGCCCTGTCCTTGTGCAGTATTTTGCTGACGCTTCGCTCAGATCCATCATTTTGTGCAGCCATCTGCGACACGTGGCCCCTCGGTTCGGCTAATAAATCTTAATCAGACGGCGGCTCAGTCGAGCCGCAGCTATGTGGGCGTGTCCTATTTGCGGGCTTTTACTGCCATAAACACTTTTTTTTCGCTCGCTTCTTCTTCTGCTGGCTTATCACATTACTGGACATTCATTGCCCTGTGCGGACCAAATTACAAGTCTGGCAAGTCTTATCAAGTAAACACATTTCAATGCTGATCAATTTATTATTTAGTTTGCTTAGTATCTAATTTAGAGGTGCTGCCCCACAGCAACGCCCTCTGCCGCCACGCTTTAGAAACCGAGGTCATTCATCAGTTTGTCCCACCAGCTTAGCGTGGTTGTAGCGGGTGTCTCTGTAGTCGTCAAGTTCCAGCTAGGTGTGGACACATTCAAACCAGGAGTTGTCAAGTTCCAGCTGGGTGTTCCGGTAGTAGTCCAGTT